AGAAAACACAAATCAAAAAAAAAAAGAAAAACAATATAAAAAGGAAAAGGAAAAGAAGGGGAAAACGTGGCAGAAAGCGTCCAAGAAAATAATTCATAATAATGCTGAACTGGTCCTAAGAGGCGGGCTAGGGGAGTGGGTGCAAGGCAGCTACTGAGTGGCTGCGGCTGAGTGGCACGACAAAATGGCGACCAGCAAAGCGGAAGTGCGCGCAAATGACAAAATGCTGTTAGCCCAAAATGCTAACCGAAGCCGCAGCCAACGTGCCACGTAAAGGGTGCAGCAGTCTCGCAGTCGCTGCGAATCGGCACGCAATTAAGTCGAAAACTAATTCCAACTGCATTAAGTGAAAATATGAAAGCAATACAGTGCAAAGCCTTCGCATTGGTTGGCCAACAGCACGCCGTGCTCCGGCTGAATTGGCCATTTAATGCAACTGCTTAGAGCGAGAATCTCGAGAATTTTATAATTGAATGAAACTTGACACCGCAAAAACGAGCTTAAGCAAGTTTTCTTTGTCGAAGTGAATTCCTTTTGAGTTGGCAACGAACTCTTTACAGAAATTGGTGCTTTATTCAAGCTATATACATATTTTGTTATCTATCATATTTTCAGTCTAATGTATATTTCTCTTACAGGTCACTTTAAATAGGAGAACTTAATTATTAACGTCTTTCTTTGCTCTCACTTGCAGATGGCACGAGCCTGAACGCCAAAGTGTAGTTGATAACTGAATGGAAAAAGCATCGATGAGGGCAATCGGGTGAGAAATCGGCTTGAAGAGACAGACCGAGAGCAGGCCAGACAGCCCAGACAGACAGACAGGCTGTCTTTTAAATCGAATAGCAAAATGTGCAAGGGCAGCAGTCCCAGTCGCAGTGCCAGTTCCAGTCCCAGTGCAACGGCAACGCTCACAAACTTATTAGCAAAATGCACAAAGTCAACAAACGGTCCCAGCGGCAGCAGCATCCACGCTAGCAATTGTCAGCAGAGGCGCCTGCAAGTGTCACAGGGAAACAAAGAGCCACAAAAGCAAAGAGTAGAGCACCAAAACATGCAGCAGCAGCAGGAGGAACATAATCAGCGGCAACATCAACAACGTCAGGAACAAGGACATCAAATAAAGCAAATGGCAACAGGGACAATTGGTGAGGACAAGGAACATGAACAGAAACACGAATTTGGACGAGACCAAAAACAGCGTCGCCCAAATTGCAATAATGTTGCCAAAGTGCAGCAGCAGCAGCAGCCGCAGTCGAGGCAGCAATTCAAGCTACATCAACTTGGCTGCTCCTCGATTGTCCTGTGGTTAATGCTGGCCACGACTGCAGCAGCAGCAGCAACAACAACAACAACAACAAGCAAGCCAGCAGCAACATCTTTAGCAACAGCAACAATCGCCCAGCGACCCGCCCGCTCGTTGAGCAGCGGTCACAGCAGTCTAAGCAGTGGCGTCGGCAGCTCGGGCAAGAGCAGCGCACGTGAGCTGCACTATGAGCTGAACAGCGGTGCAGCAGCAGCGGCAGCAGCAGCCAATGGTGGCGGTGGTGGCGCAGCGGGCATAGAGTGCCCCAGCTTCGACGACAGCTCCGCCTGCCCCTGCTACAAGTTCGAAGATGGTAAGTGCAAACGGACCACCGAACTAATTAAACGCATCAAGGCTCGAGCATGGTCAAGTTTATTGCACCCAAAAACGTGCGAACAGGCCCAATAACAAATCTCAGTGTGTGTGTGTGTGTGTGCATGCAAAGATTGTTTACTTTGACACCAGAGACACCAGCATTTGAGGCTAGACACCAGGCACCACAGTGCTTGGCCGGCAAGTGCACTTGAATGCGATTGCGAATATGCCCTGCACTCACAGCTATCAAGTCAATTAACTCGAGTGTGGTCAATAGATCAGCATAAACTAGGGTAACCGAGCAGCTTCAGTTACATGCAGTCTGCCATTGCTGCTCTTTCTGTCTCTTAACATATTATAGATATTATTTTCTTGATAGTCAAAGAGCTTTTATATTCTGATTACTATAATGCTAGCAGACATGTTGGAATGTCGGCTATGACTGACTGCATAATACCCGTTCACGGTTCAAAAGTAGCAAAACCTATGCAAATTTCAAATATATCAGACTTGCCCCAGACCAGAGCTGGTGCTGCGCTTTGGACTCAGCCATATTTTATCTGCTTAGCCACGCCTCTATCTCAACAAGGCGGCAGTTGCTTAACTCTTAACTAAGCTCGAGAGGCTGCTATATATAGTCTAAGTCTAACTAAGTCTAGCCTATTGACCTTGCGCTCAGTTGGCTGTAATATATAGTTTTAAAGCAATTTTAAGAGTGGCTTTGCAGTAACTTGGATTTGACACTTTGGGACATTAGCTTATCTTCGATCAGGCTTAAAAACTAAGTCAATCTAACCGTAGGGCAGCTGCAGCAATGAGAGTCACACTTGAACGCGCAGATATTCCAGTTCAAGCTTCAATCTTACGAGTACATAAGTCACCATAGATTCTCCCCTAGGCATACATAAATTGATTTGATACACAGTTGACTTAATAAAGTAGCCACAGTGTATCTGCTAGTCGAAGAGGCCTGATTAGTTTCTTATATTTAATTTAGCAATTGGCTTGCTTTGATCTCGGCTTCTGCCAATTAGCAAAATGAAATGCGTATTTTGATTAATTGAAATAACTATCCAATCCATATGCAATAATTGCCTTTTTAATGGATTTTTAGCTATGAATGCAGCTGCTTTTGAGAGCGAGTCAAAGCGTAAATGCTTTTCTTGGTCATTAATGAAAGTAGAGTGCATTTGACTATACGCTCTGATTAAACTGGGAGGGAGATTAATAAACATATTTATTGTTCACTCAGAATTATTATTAAGAAGCTTAGTGTGTCCTGAAATAGAATTATTTAGAAGCTCAATTATTAAATCAGCTTTGTAGCCTTAGTGGGGCTTCAAAGATAGCACAGCAGAGCAGAAGCTCTTTTGTTTGCTAAATATTAGAATAGTCTATTGTCTATTGGCATCGTAGGTATTTCTGTTGAAATTTTGCGTTAGATAAGCGGATTATTCACTTATCTGAATCAAGCCTAATCAAAAGCCAACGAAATTTGAAGCACACGCACTTGCAACTCGAGCTAAGGGCGTATCCTTCTGCTCAACGGACGGACTGGCCGAGCTGAGAGTTGGTCTCACTTACAAATGATGTAGAGTATGAGCTGATTGATTACAATGATGTTATTGTCTATGATTAATTATTGAGTTGTGGCCATTTGATTTGCAGGTTTGTTTCTGGAGTGTCCTGGGACGACGGCGCTGTCGCTGCGCTCGACGCTTGAGCGCATCTCGGCGCCGATACACTCGCTCTCCATCTACGACTTCGATCGGTCGGTGACATCGCTCTCACAGGACGTCATCCAGCCGGGCGTGCATATACGCCATTTGCAGTTCTCTCACTCGCACTTGGAGGCGCTCAAGGAGAACAGTCTGCGCAATGTGCGTGGCAGCCTCGAGTCGCTTAGCATTGTCAATGGCAAACTATCGCAGGTAAGCAGCTGAAAAATGCAATTGCGTATTCGCCAAGTGGTACACTTTAACAGCATAGGCGGACAGCGGCTGGCAACCTATTCCTACTTAGCACGAAGTGATATAAGTGAAAAATGAGTAAGAGTGAAGCGAAGGCAAACGGAAACGCAACGTCAACGTCAACGTCAACAGACACCGAAATAATAACATGCAAATTTATTGCAGTTCACAACAATGTGCTGCCGCCTGTGGCCTGTCCTTGCAACAGTGTACTTATTGTCATGCCAGCGCCCTGCCACACCCTAACTAACGTTGTGACAATCAACTGTTGGCTGCTCGACAGCAGCAACGGCGATTAATATGTGGCAGCCACGTGGCCTGGCTGACTAAAAAGCCAAGAAAATTTCAATATGCAAATATTGCTTGCATATACATACCCACACATGTGTGTGTGCGTGTGTTTGCATAGGTGGAGAAAATTTAATATGCTTTGCTAGGAATGTCAAGCTTGTAGAAGAGCCACAGCAGCAGACGTAGCTTGCATATAGCAATATATATTTATTTCTGCACTGGGCAACATCATATAAGATCCAATTAAAACTATTTCTTTATGCATTCAGCAAATTTTGCTTATTAGTTTATCGAATTTCAAACGCGCGCAAAAGTATGCAATGGAATTTAGCATGTTTCCAATATGGCGGTCGCAGCAGCTGCCTGCAATTTCCGGTTGCCAAAATTTCATTGCATACTTTCAGGCTAAACTAAAACAGCAAAACTCTTCAGCTTGTTAGCAATTTCTCTGTTAAGCAAATATATAAATAATTAATAAATAAATATATATATGTTTTTGAAGATTTTCGCTTTTCGCGACAACTGAAGCTTAAATAATATTTATTTCATTTTCGGGTTTCATTGCTGTTGGCTGCATAATTTAATACATAGCTGCCACAATATTTGCTTGTCGCTGCTGTTAGTGGTGGTGGTGGTGCAGCTAAAGCTAATTAGCGGCACCAACATACGGCGTCAATAATGTTCAACAAAGTTGGGCAACCGAAAAAATGCAAATGGCTTTCTAAGCCATTAAATTTGGAAAACAGCCGCCACAGCAGCAAAGGCAACGCCAGCAACTGAGGCAGCCACTGTGGCAGCAACAGTGGCAGCAAAGGCAGCAACGGCATTCACCGTTAACGTAAACCCGACAAACGCCACTTGGGCAGCCATAAAAAGTAATTTGCCGCCGCGAAATAACAAACGAGCCAAAGCTAAAAACAATTGCGTTCGATAAAATAATTTTCACCAAAAAGGCAGCCAGCTGGAAACTTGTGGGCGTGGCAGTAGCGCTTGCTCCTGCCTGCAATTATACAGTTAAAGTTGCAGCGCAATATATAAGTAAATGTTAAAGTAGTTCGATTTATTGAAAGACAAAATAATAGGAGAACAGAAGAGGAAGAAGTGAGCAGCGCAGCGTCTTAACCAGCTGTAACAGTGCCGTTTGAAAGAGGTCTGCGGGTCGTCGAAGTTGGCGGGCGTGGCAGCACGGGTGGGCTAATGGTCACATCGGGTCCATTAGTGGGCAGCAGAGTCCGGCAAGCGCGCGCCTTATCGCCAACCTGCATTTGGCCGCAAAGGCGTCTCTGTGCCGGCAGCCAATCTAGAGAGAGCGAAGTGAGAGAGCGTGTGAATGGAGTTGGTTTAAGAGTCCCGAGGGACGAGACAGCACTCACTGTTGCGTGGACGCGTGTGGCAGTTGTTGTTCAGAAGCTGGCAGCGGTTGGCCAACACCTTGCACAACTTGAGGTTGCGTGAGCGCACGCAAATCTCCTCGGCACGCGGCGTGCGTCGGCAGGCGACTGGCCGCCGGGGGCAGTCCTGATGGCACCAGTTCGCAAGCGCGGCGCCCACGTTGCGCACCCGTCGACAATCCCGCTCCTGCGTGTGTGTGTAGGTCAGCTTGTTGCTGGCGCTCACATCCCGACGGTTGACATCGAGCAGCTCGCAAATGTTCCTGAACCGACGACACATGCCATTGGCAAGGCGTCCACAAACGCGCGGACTGCGCGCAGCACAGACAGGCGGCAGCAGGCACACCGGCCGAATAGTTGGCAGAATCAGGGGATTGGGCGCACGGGTCGTCGAGGCAATAGCCGGCCGCATCAGCTGCAGCGTTGAGCTGAGCGCGAGCACTGCACGAACAAAAGACAAATGGACAAGCGGACAATCTAAGCATATTCCCAAAGGTTGCGGCTCTGCGGACTACGAACTACCTACCAATTAGCGTGGTCAACTGCATGTTGTTGTGTGCTGCGAGTCTGTTCACAAAGTTGTTGCCCCCAACAGACGCTCGGCGTTTTTATAGCTCATGGCCAGTTGCGCAACAATGGGGGCTGGACACGAGCCCAACCCCAACAGGAACAACAGTTGTCACCACAGTCGCCACAGTCTTCACTGCCATGCGCCACTTCTGCCTACCAGCTGTTGGTGCCATTGACCTAAGCAGCAGAACAAAGCAATCGAACGTCAATTAATGGGTATTTGGGACTATGAAGTATGAAGTTGAACTTCCTTTCATTTGACTGAAGTTTCTACTTAACATTTCCAACTTCAGCTAAGTCAGAATCTGATAAAGAATTACTTAAGATATTATAAGATATAGATCCAGCCAACGAACTGTCTCCAGAGACTCTAGAGGCAACACGCACCACTCAAAGTTGTTCAAAAATATATATATTACATAGTTAAGCCCAAAGTATATTCCAGATCAGATTCTCGCCTGCATTGTCTTGCCCCATTTGAGGGCATTGAAATGCGTTTTTCAAAACAGTTGTTGTCAGATTGATCAAATAAGACGTTCGATTGTCTGGCTGCCTGAATGAGAAATGGAGCAGTTGGCGAAAGATAATGCCGCCTGACTCTGACTGGCTGTATAAATAGCCCGTTGCAGTGTCTAGGTAATCATCAGCAACTGTCGCTTGCTTCTCTCAACAGCTAAGGTCTCAGCTCCAACTGCAACTCCAACTCCAACTCCAACTCAGTCTTCGACATGTTCAAGCTAACCATTTGCTGTATGCTAATCGTCGTCCTGGGAGCAGCTGCTCAGGTAGTGAAGAAGCCAACGCCCGTATGCGTGGGCCGTTGCACCATTTTGGATCTGAAGCGCACCACTGCGGTGTGCACACGGGATGCCAGGACCAATTTGTGCACCAAGCTGCGCCCTTGCCGGCTGCGCGAACGCAACTGCGCTCTGAGGAAGCTGGGCATGGCGCCGCTGCGACAGACGACCTTGAGGCAGTGCGCCAATGTCCAGGGCATCGAGGGCACTGCTCGCTGTGCCCCCATCAAGGTGAGGAGCTGCATCGACAAGTCCTGCATCAATCAGAAGCCGAACAGCTGCTGGCGCACTCGGGACGGCCGCAAACTTTGGCTCAGCATCTGCGATGCCCGCCGGGTGAACTGCGTCAACAGGAAACGGCCACAGCTGCAGCTGGTTCGCCTCCAGGACATCAAGTGCCGCATCAAGCCCGTCATCACGGCCTAAGCAACGACGACAACAACAGCTCCCACAATATCCACAAGCATGCATATATATATATATAAATATATATATATATATTTTTTTTTTTATTGTATATCTTATTTCTTAGAATCTTTTTTTTTCGGTCCTTCGTATCAAATTCAAAACGCTCGTAAATATTTCATAATGTTGCGACAATAAAAATAAATATCATTTTATGGCAGCCATTTCTTTGTTCTGGTTTTCTACTTGCTGCTGCCACACTATGTCACCGCGTGCCGCACCGCTCCGGCCAGACACTGACTCGCATGACTTGGCCATAAATTTGCTGGGGCCGAGCGCGCTTTTCAAGGCGCCAAGCCAAAAGCGGCCCAAACGGCATCGCAAATGTTCAATAAATTAAAATCGACTGCCATAAATTTCCATGTCAGTACATTAATTAAAAGCCCGTAATTCGCTGGCCCATGTCACTGGGCCCCGACTCCTTGCTGGCCGCGCAGTCACCTGCTTCGCTCACGCCAACGCCCCCATCGCAGCTCAGTTGTAGCGGAAATTTTGTAATTTAATGCAATTAAAAAGCCAAACAGTTCGAAAAAGAAATTGTATTCATTTCATTTGGCACAGCAAGCGAAATTGTTGCCACACACGCAGCGCATCAGCTGTAACTCATTAAACGCAGCCCAGCCCCGCCCCGTCCCTGCTCACTTGCCTCCGGGCTTGAGGCTACGGCAGAGCAGCTACGTGCATTGTGGCTGACCCCGGCTAATATCAATTGCATTGCATCATTATGCTCGCCGGGCTGCAGGAATGACTTTCATCCGAAAGGCAATGTGAGTAACTAGGACAGCAGCCCTGATTTATATACAAGCAAAATGATGGGCTTTAACCTTAATATTTATGTTCAAAGTGAAATGCTGAGAGCGTGCTTAACAGGAAACAGAACACGTGGCCAAAATATGGAGATCTCTTGAATGCCAGATGCAAGTCCAAAGTTTTTTCTGTGAGAGTCTTCAATCCAGAGTTTCGGCTTCAAATTCAAATTCAAACAGACATTTGAAAGCTGTCAATAGACTATCAAAAAAATCAATATAGCTGAGAAGCAATTATGAGCATTTGCTAGGTATCGATATCGCTCTATTGAGTTGCAAATTGTTTTGGGCCAAGGCATGTGGATCACAAACGTCTTCTCTAGCTATTTGGCTTGAGGCTGCAGTTGTCCACAAGGCTCGAGGTATCTCTCTGCTCTTATGCTTGCGCTGGCAGCCCAAGATCAACAAAATTTAGTGGACATGTCAATGTCTCTTTGGGGGCGTGGCAAAGCGAGTAAAACTGCAGCTTTCACAGCTGTGCAGCTGTCAGCATTAGGCAGTCATGTGCGCACTCGTTTTCTAATTGGCTTCAATTGGGATCCATAAGGAGAAGACAACTGAAGCTAGTTGCTGCGTCGGCTAGGCAATTGGCCGAAAATTTTGCGATCGAAGTGTGCATTGAAAATTGTGCTTGGAGATTGCCGTTCGCTTGGGCTAACATTTTTCATTTCAGAGCAAGTCTCGTCCAGTTACAAGCCGAACGTCAGCGCGCCAGTAAAGTAAAAATTTCAAAATCAACTTGAAATTGATAATTTTTTTCATTTATTTTGATCGAATCATTACCCATAATGCGTCGAGCAGCTCCCAACAAAGGTAACAACAATGGTGAGCCATCGTCGAAGAAGGAGAAGATGGATAAGAAGGAGAAGAAGTCGGGCGCCAAGGCAAATTTGGCATCGAATGTTGCCAAGAAGAAGATAAAGACCCCGTCGCCGGCGTCATCGGCGAGCAGTGATAGCGACAGCGACTCCACCAGCTGCACCAGCGGCTCCTCCAGCAGCTCATCCTCCTCGTCGTCCAGCGAATCGGAGAGTGAGTCTGACAGAAAGAAGCGACGTCATCGTCGCTCGCGCAAGCTAAAGTCTTCGAGGAGCTCAAAGTGCAAGTGGAGGCATAATCGCTCCAGAAAGAAAGCTGGCGCTGCTGCCACGGAGCCGCTGCCGGTGCCACCGCCGTTACCAGCAACGGTTCAAGCTCTGTTCGCAGTATCCGCCGTCGTGCCGACACCGGTTCCTGCGCCCAGCTCGACTCCGGTGCCAGCGCCTACACCAGCTACCCCAAAACTAAGCCGGCGGCCAATGGAGATCTGGTCGCCAGTGCCATGCAGCAAGCGTCGGCGGAGTCGCAGCACTCATCGCGCCCACTCTACGCCGTCGGGCTTCGAGTCGAAGGGCAAAAGCAAGCGCTCGTCAAAGTCGCAGCCTTCAAAGCCGAAGAAGAGAAAGTCGTCTTCGAAGGAGTCGCAGGGCAAGCTAAAAGAAAAGAGCCGCGGCTCGACCTCGATCTCGACACCTTCTACCAAGTCTAAGAAAGCCTTGCCAACGGTAATTGAGGAGCCAACGTCAAAGGATAAGGAAAAACGCCGGATATCAGTGTCACGTGGCAGGGAGGAGACGGACAGACAGCCAACCACGCCATCGTGGCCGTCCAGCAAGGTGCGGCTGCCAGAGAAGGTTCTGAAGTCTGATTCAAAGGACGAACAGCGCCTCGAGTCCAGCAAGGACATGGTCCAATCGGAGAGTAAGTTGCACATGTACATGGCGGAGCACGACTCAAGAGTCAAAATCCGGCACTCGTTGTCGCGTTCCCCATCACGGGACAAGCGGCTGCGTCTGATATCGAATGCGACGCCAGTGCCTGTGGAGAAGAGTCATAACCATGTCGCACGGTATTCCAGTAACAAGAGCCGTCGCGGGAGCAGTCGTTCCTCGTCGCGCTCCAAGAAGTGGCGTTCAGGTTCGCGATCGGGGCGACGATCGCGTGAGAGGCGCTCGCCCTCCGATCTGAGTCTACGGATGCGCAATCGCCGCTCGCTGTCGAGCGCATCGACTCAATCGATCAGCTACCGACGTCGCAGCATAGATCTAACGCCGAGTCCGCTGCGCTTGCAAGACGACGATCTGAAGACCGTGCGCCTGCATATCAAGGGCCTGACGCGCCAGGTGACCAAGACGCACATTGTGGAGATCTTTGGCAGCTTCGGTCCCCTGACCAATGTCGACTTCCCCATTGATCACTTCTATCGCGGCGGCTACACGCGCGCGGGCCGCGGCTTCGCCTTCGTCGAGTATGCCAATGCCGAGGACTGCGAGTGCGCGCTCAGGAACATGGACGGCGGCAAGATAGATGGCCAGCGCATCGTCGTCTCTCCCTTCGAGAAGAGCATGCTGCGCTTTCCCATGCGTCGGCGCTACCCCTCGCCGCTAAACCTGCGCAATTGAACTGAATGAGAGCCTACACAAGTTGCAACCATATCCACTTTGACCACTCGGCTGCCCACGCTAAACCCGTGCACTTCCCATGTATTATAATCAAATGAGTAACGAGTTTATTAAAAAAGCATTCTAAATACGGGAGGAGCTGCTGCTCGTGTTTGACTTACACTCAATTTGCAGCTATGTCAAGGGATGTGTATTGAGTAGTTATATAATTGTATAATTAGTATATAAATAATTAGATTATATAAATTGGTATATAAATAAGTATATAGATAATTGGTATATAAATAATTAGTATATAGATAATTGGTATATAAATAATTGGTATATAAATAATTGGTATATAAATATTTATTATATAAATAATTGGTATATAAATAATTGGTATATAAATAATTGGTATATAAATAATTGGTATATAAATAATTAGTATATAAATAATTAGTATATCAATTGGCACAGCTTCGGTAGCTGTCCACGGCTGGAACTCAAGCAATCCCTGACATATTCTCAGCAGTTGAGCTATAAAGCATATGATGTCATATTTGCATATTTTATTCCATGAAATTGATTTAGTACATGTTTCAATTAAATACGAACTCATTTCGGCTGATGAATGTAAACAAGTCGTAAGCAGCAGGTGCTCGTGTCCATTGTTCTCTGCGCCTAAGCTCAATATTTTGTCACCTGCACATCCTATATGAACAGGTATGCAGCTCAGATATTTCAAGGGACACCTGTCGAAACAGGTGAAACGTCGCACTTGTGCAAACAAATTAATGAATGAATAAAAAAATACTGTAAATATTTTATAAATGCAATATTGCAGAACAGTCGAACCGCAAAATGACGCAATTCTGCCAAGTTTCGCTTAATACTAATTTGCTTTTATGTAATTCGCTCGACTAAAAAATACACAAATGACACGCATGAAGAATATTAAAATGTTAACAACTTTAAATTAAAAAAAAAAAAGAATAAATAAAAAACACTCTTCATATTTTTTATATTTAACAAATAACAGCAAAACTCTAAACTAAATTTAAGTCGCATTCAATTAAGCCTGAAATGAAACAAAATTTTAAATTCATTTAATATAATCTGTTTATTTTGAATACCTGGAATTCGATTATTGATTGGCAACATTTTGTATTCAGTTTCATTAGTTTTTAGGCCATTTTAGGCTTAGTTACTGAGTTTCTTAACCAGCAGGTTTCAGGTCAGCGAGGCTTTCAGACTTAAGCATTTGGCATTCATAATGCATATTAAATTTCAATATGATCTTATCCCTGGGCTCCAGATTGAATGCAGCTTTAGTTATGTTTACCTGCTTTAAGCCTTTTCTATTCTCTTTGATCCGCAGCTGCCCTCGCGTGCGCTGAGCTCCATGCAGAAGCTAAGCGCCCTGGACTTTGACTACAACGAGATTGTGCGCATCGAGGACTACAGCTTCTATGGGCTGCGCGTCTCCAAGCTGAACATCAAGGGCAATCGGCTGCAGGCCATACCGGAGCACGGCTTCGCCGGACTGGAGGACTGCATGCAGGAGATTGACGTGTCGGAGAATGGCTTGCGCACGTTTCCGATGATGGCGCTGCGCAAGCTGGACCATCTGCGCATCCTGCGGCTCTCCAACAACAAGATATCCACCTTCTATGGCGACATTCAGCTGGCCACAAACAACGCCTCGGCGGCAGCGGCGACAGCAGCTGCTCTGCAGCTGCCCTCGTTGATACTGCTGGATCTCAGCTCCAATCAGTTTAGCGAGATTGCGCACGATTGCTTTCGCGCGTTCCCGCAGCTGAAGACGCTGTCCTTCTACGCCAACCAGATCGAGATCGTGCAGCCGGAAGCGTTCAGAAGCCTCAAGGAGCTCATGTCGCTGGACATGTCGCACAATCGCATCATCACGCTCGATCCGAAGGTCTTCGACAAGAACAAGCGCCTGCAGACGGTCGATCTGAGCCACAATCACATACACGCCATCAGTGGGGTGTTCTCCAATCTGCCGCAGCTGCGCGAGGTTTTCCTGTCCGAGAATAATATACTGGAGCTGCCCGCGGACGCGTTTACCAATTCGACCAATGTGGATGTCATTTATCTGGAGTCGAACGGCATTGCGCACATTGATCCCAATGTGTTCAGCACCTTGGCCAACTTGGATCACCTGTATTTGCGGTCAAATTTCATACCCCTGGTGCCCGTCACGCTGTTCGACAAGTGCACGAAGCTTTCGTCGCTTTCGCTGGACAACAACGAGATTCAAGACCTGGAGATCGGCATGTTCCGCAAGCTGGAGCAGTTGCGTGAGGTGCGCCTGCACAACAATCGCATACGGCGCGTGAGGAAGGGCGTCTTCGAGCCGCTGCCGGCGCTGCAGGAGCTGCACATACAAAAGAACAATATCGAGGACATTGAGCCCGGCGCCTTCCACACCCTGGCCAACATGCAGCACATAAATCTGCAGGACAATCAGCTGACTGTATTGGAGGACATATTTCCGGAGCAGAACTCCTCGCTGCTCTCCATACAGCTGGAGGCGAACTATCTGCACAAGATCCATCAGCGCACGTTCCGGCAGCAGCAGCGCATACAGATCATGTGGCTGCGGGACAATCAGCTGGTTAAGATCGATCGATCGCTGTTCGTGGACACGCCGCACCTGGGCCGACTCTACCTGAGCAACAATCGCATACGCGAAATCGAGAAGGACACCTTCGTCAGCCTGGGCCTGCTCAAGTTTCTCGACCTGAGCGGCAATCAGCTGCGTCAGCTGCGCCGCGACTACTTCGCAACGCTTCACAGCCTGGAGGAGCTGAGCCTGGCCCACAATCAGATCGAGGCCATTGAGGGCTACGCCTTTAGCCGGCTCAAGCAGCTCAAGTCGCTGGATCTCTCACACAATCCGCTGGTGCAGCTGACGCGAGACATATTTCTGGACGAGCTGCCGCTGAGCACGCTCAATCTGCGCAACACCTCGCTGCGCAAGCTGGAGCAGCACACGTTCAAGTCCATGCAGAATCTGAATGAGCTCAATCTGGAGCGCAATCAGCTCAACCCGGCGGACATACAGAAGCTGGACGTGCCCAGCCTGCGGCGTCTGCATCTCTCGCACAACAACTTCAGCCATGTGGGCATTGGCGGCGGCATGGGCGGCATCATGTCTGGCATGTTCGATAAGCTGCGCTCCCTGCAGCAGCTGTCGATGGCCAACTGCAGCTTGAGCAACATACCCGATCAGCTCTTTGCCAAGAACACGAACTTGGTGCGCATCGATCTGTGTGACAATCAGTTGGTGGAGATGAATCGCAACATCTTCAATGGGCTGAACGTCTTTAAGGAGTTGCGTCTGTGCCGCAACAATCTGGTCGAGTTCCCACACATTGCCCTGTACAATCTGAGCACGCTGGAGACACTGGATCTGGCCAAGAATCAGCTGAACTCCATTGATTTCTTCAAGCTGAGCGGCACGCTCAATCTGCGGCAGCTGGTGCTGCGCGACAATAAGATCAACTCGCTGAGCGGCTTCAATGCGGTCAACCTAACCCAGCTGGACAACGTGGATCTCAGCGGCAATCTGTTGCTCTCGCTGCCGGCCAACTTTCTGCGGCACTCGATCAATCTGCAACGCGTCGACTTGTCCAGCAATCGGTTCCTGCAGATACCCAGCTCAGCGCTGTCGGACGGGTCTATACCGCGGCTGTCCTGGCTCAATTTGACCGGCAATCCCATAAACAAGATCTATACGGTGAAGGAGGAGCGCTATCTGTATCTCAAGGAGCTGTACATCTGCCAGACGAACCTCTCCATACTCACATCGAAGGACTTTGAAGCCTTCCAGGCGCTGCAGCATCTGCATTTGGTCAACAACCGCATCACACGCATCTCGCCTGGGGCCTTCAGGTCGCTGGTGAATCTGCTCACCCTGGACATCAGCGTCAACGAGCTGGAAATGCTGCCCAAGGAGCGTTTGCAGGGGCTGCGACTGCTGCGACTGCTCAACATATCGCACAACACGCTCAAGGATCTGGACGAGTTCAGCAGCGAGCTGGGCCAGCTGCAGACGCTGGACCTTAGCTTCAATCAGCTGGATCGCATCTCCAAGAAGACCTTCCGCAATCTGCACGGCCTCGTCGAGCTGCTGCTGATGGGCAATCGCATGACGGCTCTATCCAACGACGGCTTTCGCTATTTGCGCAAATTGCATCTGCTCGATCTGCGGAAAAACTACTTTGAGCTGGTGCCACTGGAGCCGCTGAGGCCACTCGAAACGAATCTGCGTACATTGAAGCTGGAGGGTGAGTAGCAGCTGCAGCTGCAGCGTTTAACCAGCCGTAAATTCACAGTCCTTTAGCTAATTTGGTGCTTACTCTGATGGCATTTTCATTTGTATTTCGTTCACACACAGAGAATCCACTGCATTGCAGCTGCGATGCACAAAAGCTCTGGGAATGGCTGCGGGATCATCGCAAATGGTCGCTATCGCCGACGGGCGGCGATAACATTAATTATCTGAGGTGCGAACACCCAACGGAGCTGCGCGGCAAGGTGTTTGGTCGCATGGAGCCGCAGCAATTTTGTGATGCCCCATTAATACCCAAAATGGCCATACAGGACATACAGCCCTATTCGGTGGTCGTTTCCTGGCAGAGTCGCGACCATTTGGGCCTCACTGGCTTTGAAATTGTTTACCACGCCACCGGCGATGGACTCATTGCGGCACCAACCGACCGCGACGACACCCGAGGCCGAGCGGACAATCATCGAGAGCGGGACAGGGATAGGGATAGGGATATGGCTGCCGAACGCGACCGGGACTACGATTTGCCACGCCAGCACAACGAGCTCGAGCGCGACAGAGAGAGGGAGCGTCTGGCCCAGTTTGCTGCCACGGATGAGGTGAGTGGCCAATGATTGCTCAACCAGACCAGCCAGACTAACTGACAGAGGACGCACAAATTTAAAAGAAATCTGATGTTAAGCACTCGATGCCGTGATGACCAAGTGTACTCCTGCTCCTCCTGCTCCTGCTGCTCCAGCCCTTGTCCTGTTTGGCCCCCGGCCCGTAATTCTCTTTTAATAAACGCTTAATCAACGCTTAGCGGTCTGCGCGAACCAGGCGACGCCATGTG